GACAATAAAATTTTAAAATCTTCCAATGAAATAACCGAACGCACAATATAATTCTTTCGAAGGTAGCTCGACAATTTTAAATAAAATCATTATTCTGACGATGCAGACCTGAAAAGGCTGCGAAACGTCAATAAATAAATAAAGTTTCGTGCATTAACCCGTAAAAACTAGTTTTATTTAATTTAACTGTTCAGGCAGTCTGGTTTGGTTGAATTAATAGACAGGAATTAATTGACTGGACTAATAAATGAGGCGTGGCGTGGCTTCCACTGGGCGGGTCGAGTTTGGGCACACCTCCAAAGATGCTACGAGACGCTACGCCGTAGATCTCATAGGATATAAATATTTCTGTATTCATTTATTTGTCAAGGATTTTTGAGGAAGAAGTTAATCTTGTTTAAAATATGACTACTAGCAGGTTTATACTTAAATTGACATACTTAAAATAAGTCAGTGTCATAGTTAAGGAGTTGTATAATACTAGGTACGGGTAGAAGTTACTACGTGAAGAACCTTTTTTTTCCGAAAAATCAAGAATGTCGAAAACTTTTCTGTATACTAATGAATTAAGATAAATCACCTATGTGATATACATATATGGGGTTTTCAAGTAAAAACGCAATTTCCATATGATTACATCTTCAAGTCCAGTCCAGGAAGGAAGAAAAGAGTGTCACAAGGCACGGACCTTAAAGAAATCATCTGTGCACAGCTCATTTCATATATTTCCGTCTACTTTTTACGGCTACTGACATCTTCAAAATGCGACCTATTAAATAGCAATGGATGAGCATTTCTTATTCTTCTGCACTTTCTTTACATTTTTCGTCTAGTTGGTAATTTTTATGTTAAAAGGCTGGCAAACAAGCTTATAGCCAGCCTGATGGTAAACGGCCACCATAGCAATATAAAGCTATTATTAGATACCAATACCAATATAGAACCAATGACACGCACCGTTGCCTACCCTGACCCGATCCCCTACCCCGTGGAGACAGAAACACTACACTACCGAAAGGTAGTGTTATTTTACTGTGATTTTTTATAAGTTGGAGGTAACTTCTTCAAACGAGCGCTACAATTCAAGCGGAAAACCCGCTATGTCCCTTACCTCACAAAAATGTACTGTATGAACGGACCATGCTTCTAAGCCTCAAATATACTTATCTGTCGTGTTGTATTGTGACGCGTCATATATGTATCGGTTTCAGACATTTAGTACGGTTAGAGTGAGTACGGTGTCGTTACATCGCGACACACAAATATAGTTCAAACCGTACTAAATGTGTTAAACAGATACCTCTCTGACGCGTTACGATACCACACGAAAAATAAGGTTAGTTGCGGCTTTATTATAAGATCAACACTTTCTCAAATCTACACCCTTTCTTTTTAACAATTTGTATTATGTAATCTGTAAACAAGTAATATTTTTTTAAGTCAAAGTGAAGTGTAAAAATAATGTATTTTCTTGATACGAGTAAATATGCAAATTATGTGTCGGTTGTTTTCAACTAAAACAGGAAATGCCGATACGTCAAACGATAGAAGTACGATACCCGTATTTTTAGTGTGTGTTGCATATGTTTTTTATTTGTAAAGTTTTTGTTTGTCCAAATACCTTGGATTCGTTTTCAACTCCTTTCTCAATGCAAAACCATTAGTCAACACTATTCCCTTCAGTGTATCATCCCATATTTGCTATTTTCCAAAAACATGATGATTTTTCTGACTATCTTCTAGAATGCAATCCGAAGTTGCTTATGTGATTATATATCTATATTATTTGTACAGTGAAGTTGGCAGCAGCTGGCTTATAAATTGTTTTCGGTAACTATTAGTTCACCTATAGTACATAGAACAGGCATAAATTTCATATTACTTCATAGGAATAATATTGTTTGTCATTTGACCTGTTTGCTTAGTATGTTCTGTGCCAGAAGTTCTTAGAATAGTTGATACGGTTAATATTTGGCTGGCATTGTTCACGTCAACTAGAGAATGTCCATGACTTCATTTCAAGTCATTGTTAAGAAGTTTGCTAGATTTTTGATACACATATAGGTAGGGATGTTAATTCTTTTGAATTCTGATTATTATGTTAATTAAGAGGAAGTAGCGGTCAAAGTTTAGCGCTTGCGTGGGGAAGTGTCCTCTTTCTTATTTGCAAGAAGCCAGCAATAGATCTCTTATAACCATATCTAAAAGACCCCTTTTTCCCTCAAAAGGATGGAAAAACTCCCAGTGCTTATAATAACTTTACAGTGACTATATAGGTATTGTAAAATCTAAATCAATATTACCGGTAGCTAAAATATACCTTTTTGTTTAAATTCATTCATCAACTCATCGACACAACTTCAAAACAGACTGCTTTTGAATTAAAAGTATCAGATTATACTTGTGTTAGGTACAATGTCTATCATAGCCACTACGCAGTTTTCACTGTTATTCTACATTAATATCGCATACTGTTACTAATTGCAATTTATATGCTATATTAAGCTGCGTTCGGTTTCCTGATAACGTTGAGAAAATATCTGCGCTCGCAGCAACTGCAAAATTGAATACTTTAGTTAAGAAAGAGATAAAAAGGAAGGTGGTTGTTTGTCTCATTACTTTTATACAAAACGAATTAAAATATCTTACTTTGTTAAATATTAATCTTATTTTGATGGCCATATATCTAAAAGCAGGCCATAGTCTGGTCTAATTTCTTCTTCTTTTTTTTAATTAAGAATAATGTAGAACTTATTTGATTGAGTTTTAATAAGTATGAAGGTTGGAAATGTTTTAAGATCACATATGATATGGTTAAAGAAATATTATGAAACCTTTAGAATTTTTAAACTAACAAATGGAAAACTACTATTTGTAGTTCTTTTGAAAAATAACCAATATCCCGATCCCAAAATTAAAACAGATTTTTAAAAACTAATTTGACTACCAAATTCTACGGAATAGAAATTGTAAAGACTTTTTTAGACGATAACATTAACCTTTATTAAAGCTAAAAGACATACAAATTTATTCGGATAGAGTAAAAAAAAAATAAGTCTTGATCCTGTGCATGTTGAACTTAACATAAAGTCTGACATTTAAAATTTTAATAGAGCTCCGACCTTCAATATCTTCGGAGGTCATCAGGTGTTTTGCTTTAGTATGGTTTGTACCGTGGCTTCAGTTCTGTAGGTTCTTTCTGCGTTTACCTACATCGATGTCCAAATTACAGTGAACTGTGAACGCAACTGGTTTTACCCTACGGTCACTAGGAAGCGGTGCACAAAGAGGATTGCGGTAGGTCTCGATAAAACGGTCACCAAAGTTGTGGAAGCGTCGAGGTGCCGACCCATGGATCACGCATTCATTACAATAGGTAATGCCGTCCCTACGTCACAATGTTTTGTTGTTTTATATCGAAGCGAACGAATTACACAATGTAATGATTATTTTAGACACATACATGTTTTTTTTTTAACTTATTGAATATCCAACTTTTGCATTTGGAATTTCGTGTGAATTCATTTTATTATAAATTTCCGTACAATGTCTTACTTGATTATCCAGGGAAATTTGCATAATTTTGTTGTTTCCGGACAATTTTGTAGACCCAATTCCAATTCATTTAATGACATCGGACTTTTGATGACGTTAATGTGTATGTCGTTAAGGAGTAAGAACTCATCCTAAAAATAAACACTTATATTACCTTATATTATTACCTTCTTTCAACAAAAAAGATAAAAATAACATTACAATTCTGATTTAACATGGTTTAAAACAGCGTCTAACTTTTTTGTAGTTAAACTGTTAGTTCTTTAAATTATCTTCTATACTTATAATAAATCTGTAGAGAGGTCAATTCTGTACATGAAATATATTTTCAAAATAACTATCAGGGGGTGATTAGTGATCGATACTGATGCCAAAAATGCAATCAGTAAATTTTTTGTCTGTCTGTCTGCCTGTCTGTGTGTATGTTTCTTATAGAAACAAAAACTACTCAACGGATTTTAACGAAACTTGGTACAATTATTCTTCATACTCCTGGGCAGGTTATAGTATACTTTTCATCACGCTACAATCAATAGCAGCAGAGTAGTGAAGGGAAATGTTGGGAAAACGGGAGAAGTTACTCCATTTTTTAAGCTTCCGTCGCGGGTGCAGCCTTAATGGTTAAAGTTACATAGAAATCATGTATGACGGAAATATTCTACATAAAATTGTCTAAAAAATATCCCGCAACAGCATATGTCTATCTTTTATGGCTGACTCACAATAACACGTGTAATTATATAAATAAAGTCATTCTTTATAGCACAAGCCTGAGAACAAAAAGTATAGTTTACACTACAGCTCTACACCGAAGCGAAGCGAGGGCGGGCCACTAGTAATAAATATTTCTCTCACTCACATCAATTTAACTTAGCTCCAAGTAAGCACTGTAAGGCTTGTGTTATAGGATGCTAGGGTAACGGATAGAATACATAATACAAGTATATTTTATCTGGACATATATATATATATATGTCCAGATAAAATATACATATATATATATATATATATATATATATATATATATATATATATAATCAACCATGACTAACTGGCACAAATACTCGTATTCATCACACTAACATTTGCCTCCACCTCCCGGTGGAACCCGGGACTTCTGAGTAGGCGACGCCATGAAACCCAGCGTATATACCACTCGACAAGGTGGTAGTTCTTTAAATGTTGTAAAAATAAATTAAAATTCAAAATTTTTTTTTTATTCAAATTAGGCTGTTACAAGCACTTATAAATGTCTAGAAGCTACGCCATCGGTTCGTTAATCTACGGCGGGAGACCTTATACTGAGAAGAACCGGCAAAAATATGCTTTCAGTTTTTTCCTTTACATTTGTCTGACGCTTTCAGTTGATAATGTTTATGAAACTGATATTTAAAGGCAGTGTAACCTTGTCATGTTGCTTGTTTACATGTGTGTGTCGTTTGCAGGTGATAATGTCGGACCGAGCGGCGGCAGAACGCGCGTGTAAAGACCCCAATCCTATCATAGACGGAAGGAAAGCCAACGTAAACCTAGCAATCCTCGGAGCAAAGCCCAGAGGAAACCTGGCACCTGGTAAGTCTTTCCCAATATTATCGAACTATCATCATCAGCCTATTCACGGCGTCATCGTCACTGCTGGAGCACGGGCTTTCTCTATAGATGGAAAAGGGAGATTGGCCCAGTGTTGATTGGTGGGTGCAAACGACTGAAGATGCTGCCAGGACCAACGGCTTAACGTGCCTTTCGAAGCACGGAAGAGCTCGAGATAGTAAATTTTTGTTCGATTTGAGACACCCATAAGTTGCTTTACTTCAAAGATCGCAGTCGTACGCGCTAACCACTTCCACCATCGAGCTTCTATATTAAAATCTACTCTATTAAAGTGAAAGTTTGTGTCCAGTGGCTGATAACATTAAAATTTGGTACACACTTTAATATCTGAATTAATTCAGGATATTTTATACTCCAGATACTGTAGGGTTCGTGTGAAATTACCAATAAATTAACATCAACACATAATACTGTATGAACAACATAAAAATATCTTATGTACTTAATGTTTACTATAAATACTGGCAATATATACCTAAGTATGTCTCAATCCAAGTTATAAACTATGTGTGTGTCAAATTTAATCCACATTCTTTACTGATTAAAAAAAATCGAATATATGTCCATGTCGAAGTTGCTTTAAGAATATATTTTTCACTTTGGTAGTAGTTATACATTTAATTAGGTACTCGTAAACTAATCTATAGTTTTGATATAGAAACAAACCACCTATCAGAAAGCCAAATTACGACTACTCAAATTAATATATCTATAAAACTACATTTCAAACGATATAGGCGTTTATAACTAAGTACTTACTAATTCTGTTTTAATAGTAGGGAGGGCTTTTCCCACACAATTACGGTTCTAAGTTAAAAGCAATTAAACCAATGATCAGTGGATTGCCTGCTCGGTTAAGAAATTAACAGATCAATACACTTTTTAAAATATAAAGGTAATTTAACAATTTAACTAAAGAACAAATAGTAACATATTTATAACTAAAAATCTTAAAATATATAATAACTAAAATACATTATTAAAAGGAGTCCCTTTAGGCAAGGTTCAAAAGATACTGGCTTTAAAATATAAAAAAATATTAAAAAAAATATAAACTAATAATAATGCCGTGATGTGTATAAGTTCAATGTTTTTTTTAATATTGATTTGCTTCATTTATCAAAAATATGTTTAAAGCGTTTGTCTTGTCAAAGTTGACAATTTATCGCGTTCTGAATAGGGACAAAAAGAGATAGAAGACAAAACACAGTGCCCCAAAATATTAAAAACGAGGTGTTTTGTTCATATTACTCAAATGCCATTTATTATTTAATGCGAAGAGAAAAAACATGGAGAAACTAATCCAAGGTTATTTTTCTTTTATTAATAAGGGGGGAGTAAGTATTCAAAATAAGCTTAAAATTGGTTTTAATAAGAATACGGCAATTTGACGTGTTACAGTTTCGAGTAAATTATTTGATCTATTTATCGTCTCTGGCCGATCACACATGTTCTCAGAGATGACCCCCCGTAGCAATGGAAAGTACACACGCGGTGTTGAAAAAATTTTTTGCTCCCGAGTGACAAACTTTTATGTCGTTCGGTACAAGCTCAAGTCTGCTTGGTATTTAGTAAAACTTATTAAAAAAACAATTATGAGTGTCGTGAAGAACTCGGTTGGAACGAAGTTAAAAATAAACTTATGTATAAGTTCACAACCACACACAATACGCTACGAAACAACTGACTGGTTGTTGTGAGTGTTGTGAAGAAGAAATCTTCACTTTTTTTCGCCTAGTCTGTACCGCCCGAAAAGGAACTTCGTTCCAAAAAAACTCGAACGCGCCGAGCGGCTTATAAAAAATGCTCCTTTTACAAACAGCTGAGCGATAACAATCGAGGTCTTAGCATACGTTGGCTCGCAATGAATTTGAATTCCAAATTATTTATGCGTTAACTTGATGGATGATAATACTTTCAAGTTAGGTTTGTTGCAAATTGAATAAGCGCCCTTTTAGTTTGTTTTGCAATTATAGGATATTTTATATATCTTAATTATGTTAATGATACGGTTTTGTTTAATATTGGTATATTACAGATAGAGATGGTTCAGAAAATTTAGTCATAATGTGATTTATTGATAGAATTGTCATAACATAGTTCTATTATAGCGGATCATATGGCGCTGTTCAATAGCCCACACTCATTCCCGAAACTACCCTATCCCTTGGCAGTCTTTTATTATCAGCGTGGGAAAGTTAACAACTTGAGCATTCTAACTTTTTTCCAGTTCTGGTGTACTGAACTTAAATATTTATAAGTAAGATTAAATTCACACATCCGATTGAAAAAACTTTAAATCAAAATTTGCAACAACATATCGCAAGGGAAAATATAAAATAGAGGGAGTATTACAAATAGATACTAAATGATTGGATAAGTTATGAGTGTAATTCAGTTTTAGTTTAAGCTTTTAAGTAATATTTTATAGGCACAATATGTTTTTGTATAGTCTATATCAACATATAATAAAATGGTAGGAAAGTCAAAAATGCACATTGAATATTTTTTTTAAAGAGTACTTGGGGTGTAATCTACAATCGATACCGAAGCCAAAAATATAGTTTTTAGAATTTTTGTCTGTTTATCTGTATGTATGTCCGGGATAAACTCAAAAAGTACTGCATGGATTTACTTAAAATTTGGCACGAATATTATTAAGAAGTCGGGTCAACATATAGGCTACATATTATCACGCTACCACGTACGGGGAACGAGCTGTGAACCTTTATTTCTAACTAACTCCACGCGTACGAAGTCGCGGGCGGCCGCTTGTATTGAATATTATTGGAACGAAGTTCCTTTCCGAACGGGATGGACATGGCAGATGGGGGCTAGGCGAAAAAAAGCGTAAGAATTTTCCGTTTTTATATTGTTGATCGATCGATTTTATCGTCTTTCCAACCGAGTGTTTCACGACACTCAATATTAACCAATTCTTTTACAAACAGATTTTTTTGAAGTTCCTTATTCGTAGTAGCGCTTTAAATAATAAACCCATCGCCATGTAAACGTTTTAGAAATGTTGTTTTCCTGTCACTAACTTCGTTCTCGTTTTTTTCAATTGGCTGGTAAATGACACAGCATTTGGCATTGCGACTTCTAGAGTGAGTAAGTAATTAAGTTTTAAGTAAAAAGTGTGAAGTGATTATGATTTTTTGAAATACTATCGAATTTTCTCATTATCTTGCGTATGATTATTTATTTTAATTTGTTCACGTCTCTTTTTGTTTTGAATATCCCTGCTTCTGGGATTCTGCCAATTCATCAAGTCTAAATAAAAAATGTTGAAAATACTTATAAAATTTTTTCCATTATGGTTTCAGTTTTCATTATTTTTTGTATCATGTTGTATGTACAGCTGCTGTGCTGTTTCTCAGTTTGCTGAAGCAAGGGCGTAACTATATCGGTATAGTAATACTAAAAATGAACATATTGAAAATTTTCATACTTATTAATCTGCCTGTTTTAATATTCTATTAAACATTATTCAGAAGCTTATAATTTCTACCCGACTACGCGACAAGTATCCCAAAGCGTGACACGCAGTGAGAGTATTGTTTTCTATTTGTTTAATTATGCTAAATTTGATTTTGCATTATTCTCAATGGAGTATTTGACACAAACGTGTCCAATACTAAAATTATGCCGTTATCTGCATCCGATTAGTTCGTTAGATAGGGAGTGATAATAAATAGTAGATAATAATATTAACTGGCAGTTATCTTTGAGTGTGCGTATATTAAATTGAGTGGTAGCCAATAAAAGTTCCGATCTTTAGATACAAATGTAACAGAAGTGACTAATTATTTGATAAATAATTTTAATTTAACAGGGTATTTGACAAGTTATAGAAAACGATCTCACGTTATTGACTAATGTTTATGGAGTCCGTAAAAAGATGGATATTCATCATTCTGTTGTGTATTTCAGTAAAAATAACCAAATCAAAAACTCCATTTTCAAGTTGCCGCAAAAATGTTTCTCTGGACAATATGGCGTCTTACTAGTGTGTGACGTCACACGCGACTGTTATTAAAACGTCAAACGATACAATGTAATGTCACTTTAACCGGAACTTTACTTACGTGTGACGTCATTTTAGGCTCCGCCAATCCCAAGCGTTTTGAGTCACGTGACAATAGATAAGAAAACTATTATCTTTTTCGTGGGTTTTTAGTAAAATTATGTTTTTTTTGTAATAATAGTACAATCCCCTGCCAATATTCATTCTAAACACAGAATCTAACAATTGGCGCTTTATGTTTAAAACTATCAGATACCCTATTGTTCAATATTCTTATTGTAATACATATTTAAGTTTTATTATTTAGCTATATAATAATACTAGCTGACTCAGCGAACTTCGTACCGCCCTAAAAAAATAGGGGTTGTCCAGCGGACAAAATTGTGAATCTAAACCATTCTCAGATCCCCTTGAACACACACAAAAAATTTCATCAAAATCGGTCCAGTCGTTTAAGAGAAGTTCAGTGACATACACACTCACAGAAGAATTATATATATAAAGATAGCGACAAATATAATTTCTTCGTAGCCGTACCAGCATTATCATGCCGCGTGGCTTCCACTATCACGCAGTTTAATTTTGTGATATCTTCGAATCATAATAAGAGAGGTAGTTCACAGCGGATTTCCCTCTCGAATTGGAGCCTGTCTGGGGAAGTAACCTCCATCTAACAGAAGACAACAGTAAAATAACATTACCTTTCGGTGGTGTGTTTTTCTGTTGATGATTAGGGTTCCAGGGTTCCGCGGGGTAGGGATTAGTTCAGGCCGGCAAGGTGAAAATGGCTGGAGCTGTTCACCTTCTGTAGCATCTGTCTTCGCAACGGGACTCCACTTACACTTTACATCAGGTGGAGTGGGACAATTAGTTGCGCCTCGTACAAAAAATATCATATTTATACAAGCTTTACTAAAATATTTGCGGTGGTGCT